AGACCCTGTTGCTGGGAGGGTTTCACATGGGCTTGGGGCTTTAAGGAGAAATCTCCAGTTACAAGACCAGAGCCTTTGTGCTGCCAGTCAATGACAGAAAATATATGTATTTTTTAAAATATAGGTCAAGTTACCTGAGGATGCTCTACTTGCATATAGTATCAGTGGTCATCTTTCTTTTGTATGTTTCCTCGTACTAAATTATTCCCTTTCTTAGTAAAGCTTTTTAAAAATAAATAAATATATAAATAAAACATGATAGTGCTGCTTTTCCCCTCTCAACAGTCAGGTTTTCTCTCTTGAGTGGTAACTGGGAAGGGGGAGTACAAATCTTGCTTTGAATTTCTTGATTGCATTTTTGTCCTTGTTGCAAAAGTCCTTCTTTCCTTTACACATGTACAACAGCAACAGAGATTGAGAATAAATTCTACTTGGAAAATACTTTTTAGGTACTGAAAGCATTTAAAGGTAAGGCTTACAGCTGAGTGGAATATAAGTGCAGAAGACAAATATTTCTATGGGATCTAGAAATTCTCTGTATTTTCTGAACCTCCTTATTTATTTGGCAATATGTGCAAGACTTCATTTTAAGTAATAACCTATGGCATTCATGACGATTTACAAAGGTTAAGGATTATATCCGCATACTCTCCATTCTCTTGTGTTGTACCCCCTTTTCCTTTTTTTGTATTTCTACTGATTAAACTTCAAGAAGCACCTACCTCAAGGCATTTGCAATAACAAGAGATTGTTGATCTCCTATGTCCAGAAAGATCATGTTAGGGTGCCTATTTCTTGCTGAATTTATTGTATCTCACTTGAAATGATGACATGGTACAAATACAAATCAATAAAAGAAAAAGGTATACAATAGTCTGTGTTATGCTCTAAGAATATATTATTGTGTTGTTGGGCTTGTACTCAAAGGACAAGCACTGACACTGGATAAAGCATGTTATGAATGGACTTCACTGCTCAATCCCATCCAGATTATGTCTTGAACTTTAAAAAATCAAATCTATCCTATTAATTTGTGATAAATTACTTGAATCATAGACTTTTTGATGTTCTAAAATAAATAAACAAAGGTTTAACATAAGGATGTGGTAGAAGGAAAGAGTTTTCCATTGAGTGAAAGTCTACATTTCAGGATGACAGCCTTCAAGCACTGTGTTTGTATTGAGTTTGAAATTTTGCTTGCATTTAACTCAATGTAAACATCATATATTTTTGTCTACAAGGAAAATAGGCTCTTCTAGAGCTATTCCAAACACAAGGAAATAGTACTGAGTATGTGTTGTAATAACCTTGCCCTTTTTATTTTTTCGTGAGGTGGAATGCTTTGGAAAATGTTCTGTAAAGCACATGTTCAATTATTTCAGTTTATGTGTAATTTTAATGAATGTGTCAAGTTATGCATGGGCTCAAGTTATCATGATGAATCAGAGCCTATGAATATGTTGGAAACAGAAGGTTCCCTGAAATTCTGGAACTGACAGTTTCAATTACACAGGAAAATGAAAGGAAAAATGCTGACAAATAGGTCAAAACAACTACAACAGAGCAGTTGTAAGAGCTTCAGTAAGAGCAGGAAAGGGAAAGTTGATGTGGAAGAGTATATACAAAAAGTGTAAAATGCCTGCAAAAGTAAGCATTTGGCAGAACAAAAATGGTGGCAGCAGAGAAATGCAGGAATTAATCGACCAAAGCTATGCATATTTTGGGAGGGAGAGAAGAGGCTGTGAAATTGTACTTCCTTTCCCTCTCTTGTCCTCCACTTTCTGTCTTTATTCCCCTCTTCCCCATCCAGTGTTTATGAATATGTCTTTGAAAACATAAACTTGATCCAGTTAAGTGAAATAGAGATATATTACAATTTCAACTAAAGCTTCTTGACTCCAGCCCACCACTTGCCTGGTCAGGAGGAACAACTCGGTGCCCGAACATAGGTGGGATAGTGGCACTTTCGCTATTCAGGGATATCCCACCTGGATCGTAATGACTGAGGGGCCTACAAGGCCATGATAAGGCATCCAAACTGCACCTTAAATTCACTCATCATATATTTATCCCGAATATTAGAGCTATTGACAGCCATAGTTTCAATGAATGGTCAAAAGCTGTACGTAATAAATAATCATGCATCTGTGCTGAAAGGTCAACAGTAGGTAAATGTATCGTTAAAACAATCATTTTTTAAATCATGTCTACATAGTAAAATTTATCAGATTGGCATACACTCATCTATTTAGTATAATTTAATGCTGTTTCAATGAATACATGGTTCTTATGTCCAATGTCTCAAATTTCAGCCTAAAGAAAACATTTGCAAGTGGAGAATATCTCTTTACTAACCATAAGAAGATACTTAGAGCTGAGGACAATAACAGAAATTTTCAAGTTACCAGATTGTTTGGGTCAGTGTCAAATATTAAACCAGGTTGTACAGACAGAGAGCTGTAATCCACACACTACTGCATTTTTAAATTTCTGGGAAGCAATTAACTGGCACTGGAAGTGTAAAGGAAAAAAAGCAATAATGTGGAATGTCCCCTTATTCAGGAAACTTTGAAAATGTGCAGCCATAATAGCTGTGGTGAAGTTCCTTTAAATGAGACTTCGGTATGCTGTGGAATAAAGTCAAAATAGGAGATTGTGGCATTCCAAGTCATACTGAATAAATGCATAGATGAGGCCAAATTGTAGTCGTATTCACAAGGCAACATTTTTTTCCCCTTTTCAATAAAAAAAAAAAAAAGGGAGCTGAGAACACTTTAAGATACAGGGCACAAATGTGTAATTATTCTTGGCTAACATGGTAGCTGTTGATCATTTAATGAAACCATAATTATCATATAATGGCAGGGTATTTATATGACAGATTACTACATTATTACAGGGTAAGTGTGTGATTATTTCTGTCCTCAAAATCAGAATAAAAACACATGGAAGTGGAAAAATAAGTTGAAAAAAAGAGAGAAAAAAATCCGAATTTCCCAATGCCACTCCCATATTGTTACTCCATCCCCACCTCAATCACAGTGATGGCAATGGCCACCAGCATTCATGATGAAGCCAAATCTCCTCAGGAAACCCATGCCATAGCACAACAGATCATAAGGCTCTTTGCCAAATGGCTACAGCTCTAGGCTTCATTGTACTTATAGTTCAACCGATTCAAGAGCAATTTGGTTGCTGGTCTCTTGTCCTCAGAAGACACTATACTCCTGTTTGCTTAGAGATATAGTACGTATGCTGAATGCAAGAATTTGCACTGAGAGGTACTTAACTCCTACTTCTATGCCTTTAGGAGAGAACACTGAACTAGTGTGGATTTCAAAGTAATGCCAGTTTTGTCCTGGGTGGATAAGTTTAATTTGTTAGAGCTGAGAACTATTTGCTATGGTTTGATTTCAGCCAACACTGCTGGTGTTCACTACCATGTGGAAGTTTGACCATTTAGTAAGGATTGATTTAAGTTGTGAGAAAATACTTAAATTATTTCTTTTATGGGGAAAATGTGATGACAAGTGAATTTACAAAGTTAGAGAGTTTTATAAGCTGAATACAGTCCATCTCGAGTGTTATGAACTGGATGGCAGCTTTCCATCTGGGAGACAAAATGAAATTGTAAACCCAACTGACTCACTGATTTCCCAAGCCCTACATGGATGTTAAAAGAGCTATGCAATCAGCTACTCCACCTGAAATTTGCCTCTACATCTTCATAGTGCTACTTACACAAAGCTGTGTGGGAGAAGGTGGCCAGCACTCTCTGTTTCCAAAAAGCACTTGCTGAGCCAGTATTCTAAGATACAAGTTATTGTAAACGTAAGAGTTTGGCCCTGAATAATAACTTCTAAATTTGGCAGTATTCTTAAATCTGGTTTTCCTAGATTTTTATCCAAGAAACACGATTAGTGTAGCTATTAACAGTCTTGGTCATTTCTCTCCATTTTTCTTCTTGTTTTTCTTTACAGTGAAGGAAAATGGACTTAGGTAAAAGCCTCATGCTGTTATGTTCTCTCAGGATTTATCCTGTAAGTCTGTAAAAGAAATACAGGTTGGAAGACTGAAGAATTTGGAGGTACTAAGAAATCAGTCTGTGTATCCTTACTTAGAAGTTAGCTGTAATTGCAGTACCTTTGTAAATAGCTACCATAATAAACTGGTTATTACTCTGAATGGTCAATGATTGCTCATAATTCACTGCTGCTAGGTTAATTCTCTCTGCAGAGAAAGAAAAACCCAAACCTCTTGTCCTTAAAAGAATACTTCACTCAAGATGTTGGTAGGAATTTGGTTAAGAGTCTAGCTCTGCTCTCCCTGAAGCCAAATGGAAACCCAGAACACTCCCACAAGCTGCAGCATTCATTCACAAAAGGAAACAGGCAAGGAGATGATGATGCATGTTGCCTGAGAGAGTAATGACTTTAAACTGTTTCACTGATATACTTCATTCAGTGTGGCGCCTTTTGTGAACCAGCCACCACATTTACTCTAGATGAAAATTAATGAATGAAAGAAGTTTTATGAACTGAACCCTTTGCTTCTGGTATCTCTTCATTACAGGCTACTTCTGCCTCCACTATCTTTTCAGAATTATAAATAGTTAAAACAGATTGTTCAAATACCATTAAAGTAGCTCCTATAGATAAAATAGAAGGTAATATTATGAAGGTTTAAATTCAGATTGATGTGTTAGTGGTTTTGCCTATTTGGTGTTCTTAATAAAGGTTATTCTAATATAGTTAAATTTAGTTAGAAACTGACTTATTTTAATGTTTTTCAGATTAAGTGTATTTATAAAATCTTTTCAGTCAGGTGCTATTTCTAGTGAAAATCAAAAATCACACCATTCAGCAGTAGAATATGAATTATTTTATTTTTCTTTTGGAAATAGTGATGTTTTTATTACTGGCATTTTCATTAGGAAATAAATCCAAATATTGTTATGAAATTTGGGTTTTTTTAAAAAAGTTTTGATCACTCAACAGGATATGAGGAAACATTTGAACTCTCACCTACACACCTTACCCCTAATATTAATTTTTAAAAAAATCTTCCAGACATTTAGTTACGTATTTTTCTGCAAATCCTTTGCAACAATTATAATGCTCTTATCAAGGACCAATCCTTTCTGGTACAGTAGAATTTCACTGATTTCAACCTAACACGGTAGAACTTCAAGCAAGTCTCATGACAAAACGTTTTAAGATAAAGTTCAAAACAATTGGCAGTTACTTCTTATAAATATGTACTATTTTTCAGCTATTGTTATGTATACTTTTCGTCTCTCATTTGTTTCTAAGCAAAGGTCATATATTAGTAATTTTATTATCAGATTCTCCTGGAAAAAAATCAGAGACTCAGGAAATTTTCTCCCAAGCTGAAGTAAGTCAACTTCCAGGGTTTCAAGTTCTGGCAAGCTAACTTCTCCAAGGTCTCATAAAAATTCTGGGCTGTTATCTCCATATGCCTGATTGACTTTTTTTTTGTGGTCGTAATTAAAACCGTCTGTCCTTTCTCAGTGACTTCAGGAGAATGGCAATGAATCACAAAAGCTCTAAAACAGATAGAAGGATGGAGGTTGAGGTTAGCAGCCCAGAATCACTTAATCTGCTGTATTTCATCCATAGAAATGTAGATCCAAAGCACGGCCTTTTAATTCAAGCGACTTCAGAACAAGTCACCATGGCAGAAGGTTGTATCACAGTCAGAATGGGGAGACAAAAGTAGTCCTGGGTTTGGACTGAAGCAGAAAGAGATGTAAAATAAACTAATTAACTTTATATGGAACATCACTATCTTCGTAACCCTAATTTTTTATTTTTCTTGTATTATCCATTAGAACTTTTCAGAAATGTTTTCAACAATTTCTAAGTAAGACATATTTTTTGGAATACAAGAGTATGTGAAAAGTGAAATGAATACAAGAGGCAAAAAAAATGAAACTGAAACCAGTACTAGAATCTTATCAAGGGAAGAAATATTTAACCTTCAAAATATAATTTAGAAAATTAATTCCCTATGACGCTGTCTTTTGTGATATTTGAGACTGCTCTTTATTACTTACATCTTGACATCCATTCTCCAAACTTAATTGTTTTTCTGCCTTTTTATTTTTGAGTAATCTTGAGTTCTAAGGCTTTTCTGCCACTTAGAAAAAGGTTGCTCACTAGGTGAGTCACTTCCCCCACACCTGGAGGCCTTGTCTCCATGCCTTTTAAAATTAGAATAAATTTCAGCAACAAATTGATGTGATATTAGAGTAGGAGATCTGGAAGATATGATCTTAATGAAAGTCTTATTAAGCTACTCACATTCCTAAGGATCTTGCACATTGGTAACCTGTTACTCAGGGAAGCAAAAATGACTGTTTGACATGATCCTTCAAAGTTCAGTTCCTCCCTGATGAGTCAATTAGTTATGCAAAACTAAGTAAACATCCATGTGCTCTGATCCCATCATTCACAGACTGTTATCATCTCCAGCTTTGGCTCCCAAATTCAGGGGAAAAAGCTGAATGTCTTGTGAGAATGACAGTATAGTCTGAAGCATCAACATGCCAGCTGCCTCCAGAGGCTTAATGACCTCAACACTCACTGAAGACCAGAAAACCAAGTGTCTACAGGGATCTGGATCTTAGGTAGTATCCCTTTTTATTTTCAAAAAGAGTTGGGTACTTAAAACTACTTGAGAACCTGGATCTAAGCTCTGCATGGGGTCAAGGTTTTAAGTAGAATAAGGTTTGCTGATCAGAGACTGGATTTATATCAAACAGTGTACAATGCTGCCCTAATAAAGCAAAACATAAAACTACCAGGAAAAAAATACTTTAAAGGAAAAAATGCATTCCTGGTATAATTTTTCTGAAATCAGGAAAAGAGATGAAATTAGAATCAACTTTCTCAGGGAAAGAGTTTATTTTTAATAAATAATATTTCTACAGCATATAGCAATTTTAAAAGGCTGTCTTTTATCAAATTTATCTTGATTTCATGAAAACATGTACAACTATTCATTTAAGCAGGCTTATCAGTCTATTTTTGTACTGAATGTTCTTTTTGTTAGTTTTCTTTATTTTCTTTTTAGTTTCTTCTTTATCATTCAGAAGGTTTGCACTGTATTCCTGTACATATTTGGTTTGGTGCCCAGAAAGGCATTATTTTAACAGGGCTACTTCATTAAAAGTTATTGTTTTACAGGGGTTCTACCATGCATACATAATTATATATATGCCCTTCTATGATGAACAGTGTGATGAAGTTACCATAAAAAAAAAAATTTTCTGCCTTTTCAAGTCACATTGCATCTAACTAATCCCAGCATCTAACTTTCTTACTTCTATTATTTTTTAGAAGATATTAAGCTGTCAAAACAATTTTTTTCTTTTTTTTTTTTTTAGTAAGATTAGTCTTTCGGTCCTATTGTGACTGTAACTTGTCCTCCCTCTATGCTCTCCAAGAAAGAAGCAAGCACAGCTGCTAACACACAGAATTTGTCTCAGGTAAAACCAGTAGGGCAGCTTTCAGGGACCTGCTCAGGACTGATTGTGATGCTTTCTCAAAATCCTTTTCGATTACTATATTTTTCAGTAACTCTATGTCACTCCATAAGGAGAGTTTTTTAAGAAAATCTCCAGATACAGAAAATAGATTGGGGGGTTTCTATATTTTTAAGACTTTGATAAAGTTTTGAATTATCAGTTTTATGATAACAAGGATCTAAGTGAATTTGTAAGATAAAAAAGTCAAGAGAATGATATTTCCTTGCAACTACATGTCTCTATGAAGCTGCATCGCAAGGCCACGCAAGGGTAGATAAAAATTCACTGCAACCTTTGCAGAGAGTTGGCATTAAGAGACTGAATATCAGTGTGAGCAGTGTAATAGAGTCTTGTACCAGTGTAGTTGGTCAGGAGCCAACACTTCCAAGCAGACCTGAAAAGCATGTTATATGCTGGTGTGACTTTCAAGTTACAAAGATGTCTTCAGTACTGAGATACCTGATTTGCTTCCTGCAGCTAAAGCAGAAGGAACAAAATCATCTGTTACATCTATTATTGAAGGAGACGGAACACTCGGCATTTTGCTGCTTCATTCTCATCATTGCCTACCTGGAGTTTTGGAGGATAGATTTGAGGCTACTTAATCCACATCAGCTGACTTATGCTTTTTAAGTCCTGTATTGACTGGGTTGCACATACTTTGTTTATCTTTTGTTACCCTATATATACACTAAATTGGCTTATGTCCTTCATCACATTGTTGATGGAGCATTAAGTAATACTTTCATTCTAGGGCTTCTACAATTGCAGAATTATTCTTAGCTGCAAACAGATTCATGAATATAAAAAAATTAAGCATTCAATGAAACTTGGAAATGCTGTACTTATACTAAAAGAGTATGCATTATAATTTTTAATCAATGGGATCTAGAGTATAAAGAACATTGTGTTGTTGATAAAAAAAGGACAAAACATAAAACTGCACCTCAATTATACACTGTGTAATCACTTTGAACTATTTACATACCTCCACGTTCATATTTTTTTACAATATTTGCCAGTTAACACGGGTTTCTACTGTAATGGGATTATGCAGTGGTAAGTGTTTGGGGGATGACAAAATCCATGAAGTGGTAAAACAAAGGAAGTCTCTCACTTTGGACTCATACAAAACCTAACAGGATCTAGTCGTGCATCTGCTGGTTTTACATAAGTTCCTCTGAACATTTTAGAAATCAATAGTGATTAAATTTAGGTTGAAAAAAAATGTTGAAGATTAATTTTCCTGATGATAAACAGCTAAATTTATCCTCCACTAATCAAATGTTGCAAACACTGTAAATGTTCACTACAGTGAAGGTATTGCTTTCATGGCAGAAGATATTAGTTTAGTTTTAGGACAGAGTGGCAGTGAAGGCATTTTTTACTATTGCCACCCTCTGCGTGAGACATGAGACTCCTTCAGCCTGATTCTCATGGCTATCTAGCAAAAACAAGAGCTTGAGGCACTGTTCAAAGAGTATAGGATATGGGATACCTTGCCTACCATTTCTCTCTTGAAGTATTATATGATCTGTGCTGTTAAGTGATATTGTGCAATTATCCTAAAAGCCTAGCTGCACTACTTACTTCACCATCCTCTGTGAAGCTACTTTGGTAGGTTTTCTAACATATTGTGTGAAAGTGATGCTGCATGAACATTGTACTTAATAAAGTCTTTTTTTATTGCAAGATGAGGCTGCATTGAATATAATTGCACTGTGTGGGGTTAACTTTATGAAGCCTGTTCCCTTTGGCTTCAATGGCTTGAAATAAAAAATGAATCTCTCACAACAATGAGACTCACTTCTGATAACACTGGCCCATTGACTTCAATGAAACACTATTAAAAATTATTCTCATTTCACTTTAATAGTCATTCTTAACAGCATCAGACCACTGATTTCACCATTCTACTTTCAAGACTGAATGTTCAAATACCTTGTTTCTTGTGGTTGTAGTTTGTTGACTTTCTGATAAGCAGTACTAAATATTACCTCATATGAAAGAAAGAAGCATCTTGCACAGTTTTTTGCTAGTACCCTTTTAAAATTTTTTTAGGTATAGGGAGAAGATGAAAAACCCAGGATGACTTATGAAAAACAAATGGATCAACAATTCCTCCTTGTTCTTCATGAAAGTCCTATGAAAGGTCTAATATGATACAAATATGCATTTTGCATATGCTTTTTTTTTTTATTTGAATGATACTTTGTTTTGTGTGGAGTTGTTTTTTGATTTGGTTTTGGTTTGCTTTTTTGTTTGTGTTTTTACTTTGTTTGTCTGTTTCTGTTTGGTTTATTTTTTAAGGAAGCTGCAGAATTCTTCCATTAAAGTAAATTGATGATGGAGATAACTGGGGGAATGATGAGCATGCTTGCTTTTGCCATCTTGCTTGAAATAGACTACATCTCAACTATTACTCTGAATAAGGTGTGTTGCAGTTCTAACCACTATGCTGTACTAGAATGTTCTTCTTATTCTTCTTGGTTTTTCAGAGGGAAAATATAAATTGAACTTTTCTTCCCCCACCAACCCAGATCTCAGGTTTGTTCTCTGTTCAAGACATACATATGGCCTCTAATATTTATGTATTAAAATTTGCTTTGTTTGAGCTCTTCAGTTTGTCGTTCATTTGGATTTTTTTGTTGTAACCACTGATTTAACTTGAAATTAATCCCTCTACATGCAAGACAATTTTGCCATTTTCCTTCAGAAGCCAGACAATTTATAGATGAGCTCAGACCAAATAAATCAAGCAAGATATATTTATAGGTCTAATATACCATATATATTAGTATATATTTTTAATCAAGATCATGCTGTCAGTCTGAAGAAATAATTAGCTGTTAGCAGGTCATACACTTCTGCTGTTCAAGCAGACTCTGTTGCTGATATCCAGCCTAGGACACCAGAACAGACAGTGTTCAGTCAGTCAAGGCATGTGGCTTGTGTTCATTAGTAATGAGGTGAACCTTCTTTGTTTCCCTGCACTAATTCACCTGAATGATGGTATAACTACAATTATTTTCAGACTGAGCAATGTCTCCACAAGAAATTGTTTACAGTAATTCTGAACAAAGAAATGGAGACTCACACACACATTAACTTCAGTACGTAGTGGTGGTAAAAGGCATTGACTCATCTTTGGCTCCCCAGTTCTTATTCTCACAGCATGAACCCTTGAGAAATCCCCAATTTACTTTCCAAACAAGGGCTGTGTCTCAGACAGTGGTCTCTGCTTTGAGTTGACTAGATTTCTGAATATTTTGTATAAAAACCAGTGGCCTAGCATTCAAAGTTACTAGGAGAGTCAAATTCTAGTTTCTTTATATGAGAGTGAGGATTCAACCCTGGAACATTTTAAATGTTAGTAGTAATTTTATCATCCTGCAGCATCATCACTGAACCTAACAACAAATCACTGGGCATCTGCTTGCAAAACTATGTTACTTTTTTAATTATGGAATAATGTTTTTGAACAGTCTTGGGAATCCAGAGAGGTCCCAGCTGACTGGAAGCTGGTGAACATTGTCCTGATTTTCAAGAAGGGCAAGGAGCACCACGGAAATTACAGGCCTGTCAGTCTCACTTCAGTGCCTGGTATGGAAGTTATGGAGATTATTCTGGAAAGTATTGAAACACACATGCAGTTACTGGTCACAGCCAGAAAGGCTTCATGAGAGGAAAGTTCTGCTTATCAAACCTGATTTCCTCTTATGACAAGGTAACCCACCTAGTTACCTTGATCAAGAGAAGCCAGCTGATGTCACCTTTTTGGGGAAACCATGTGAGGAGTGGCTGAGGTCACTTGGTCTGTTCAGCCTGGAGAAGAGGAGACTGAGGGGACACTGCAGTCTGTAACTTCCTCAGGAGGGGAAGAGAAGGGACAGGCACTGATCTCTTCTCTGTGGTGACCAGTGACAGGACCCAAGGGAATGGCCTGAAGTTGTGTCAGGGGAGGTTTACGTTGGATATTAGAAAAGTTCGTCACCCAGAAGGTGTTTGGGCACTGGAAGAGATTTACCAGGAAGTGGTCATAGCATTAAGCCTGACAGAGTTCAAGAAGCATTTCAGTGATACTCTCTGGCATGTGGTGTGACTCTTGGGGATGGTCCTGTGCAGGGCCAAGAGTTGGACTCCATGATCCTGATGGGTCCCTTCCAACTTGGGATATTCTATGATTCTGTGGTTTTGTGAATGTATGATAAAATGAACAATATCAAAGTGGAGTTCATACCTAAAAAAATGTTGTTTGGTAATTTCAAAGGTACATTCAAGTTAGCATGTATATAGTAAGTATATAGTATATTTGGGGTTTCTTTTTTTTTTGTTGTTTGGTTGTTTGTTTGTTTTTTGTTTTTTTCTCTTCTCAATTCTTGTTTTCCTTGAAAACCATATTAAAAGATATCCTTTTGGTTTTTAAAGATCTTCCTAACAGTGAAGACAACATATATTTTAAACTCTATACATTAAATAATTTAACTCCATCTGTGTGTGATCCACAAACCAAACAGCACCATATGAATGCATGTACACAGTCTATTACAGATTACAGGACTTACAAGTAAAAGAAAGGCAGAATGATTTGCAATGTCAAGCATCATCTCTTATAACAATAGGTTTGAAGAGTTTAGAGTCTCTCAAAAGTCAAAATATTTTGCTTTACTCCCACTCATCGACTCTTCTTCACCTAAAAAGCAAACGTAAAAGAGTAACATTACTGGAAGTAGCAAGGATTCATAATAATATTATTCTGAAAGCTGAGAATATTATTGCTATTTAAACTGAATATTTCTTCCTCCTATCTTCAGATATGCAAACTTTGAAGTATTATTAGTGTATACCTTAAAAAGTAAGGTGTACAAAGAGTTCAAGAAAAATCTTAATTGTGGGGTTTTTTCTACTTCAGGTATTTGGTATATCAGCTTCAGTAATTTTATTAATTTGAAATTGTTTTGTACATAATGTCTTTATTATGCAGATTTTCACCCCTTGTACTTCTCCATAACCTAAAAACAGTTGACTAACACTGATAAGAATCAAAAGTCCAGCTTTAGAAAGAGTAATAAAGGATAGTATATTCTAGATAAAACTAATCACTGTGTTTGGTTGGCATATAGTGAAGGACTGGATACACAGACAAGTTGTTATGGAGTTGATGGCATAGAAAATAGTGCAGGCTGTTAATTATAAGATAGAATTATAACTTTTCAATTAATTCAGTGATTGCATTTGAATATTGGAAGAATTAATGCTATATGATCTGGATATCCCAAATATATTAAAATTTTACTTGTACCTGTATGATAGTTTTTATCTACATGTGGTTTTATTATTTTAGGAAGAAATATTGATTTAGTTCAATTAAAGGAAGTGATTTTTCCTTTGGTTTTTTTTTTTTTTCATAATGAAACTTATGATGCTATAGTCAAACAAAACATTTCTTCAGAAAATCAGTGCACAAGTTGAGAAGCTGAGGAGACGAATAGTGATTATTACAAGCTGCAACTATAAATAAAATCTGACATTGTGCAGATGTTGTTGCTGCTGTTGTAATATCTACTTGCATGGATTCTCTGATATTTCCTCTTGTTCCAGATTAAAAAGGCAAAATCTTGGTCAAATGAAATATGCTTGAAGATCTGTAGGTGGTTTTTTTCCAGAATAAAGGACATATTTCAAAAGAAATGATAGTTTGGTTGGAGGAGTTCCCTTGCTTTTTCTTCCCTGTTATATAATAGGTGATGCCCTTAGCAAGCAATAACTTTCACCAAGCAGTCCCATTGAGGGAGCAGAAATGCAATCATTACTGGTTGTCAAGTTATTAAAAGCAAAAGAGTATCCATACTGTGGCAAAAATAAAAAAAGTACAATAAAACTTCTTTAATGAATTTTGAACTAAGACAATTTACAATTTTCTTCCAATAGACATCCATATCTACCCAAACTATACATACTCTAAAGCAAAATACATGTTGCCTCAAATGTGCAATTCAGAGAACAATGGCTTCATTCCATAATATTTAAAACATACATTGATGATCAGGAAATCACATTATGTGTTTCCAGAAAGTCCAGAGAATCCATCCAACGTGTTGCCAATACCTAATAGATTTGAGACTCAAAAGTCACAGAGATGTTTTCTATGTTATCCAGTCATAAGTATAAAAATAAGATAATGTGATACGCTGTGGAAAGAGAAGAAAGTTAGGTAGCCTTCCTGAGTAAGTTCCAGCACATGAACTAATCAACTTTATTTAGACAAAAACTACAGTCCAGACCACTTTCTGATAATGAAAATACACTTTGAACTGGTGAAAATACTTACAACCAAAGAACAAAAAAAACCAAAAGAGAACAAAAAAAACCAGAGAGAAATGTGAGTAACATAGATGGAGGTCTGTGAAGTGAATAAAGCTACCTCTTTAAGCTTTCTGATAGACCATGTAAAAATACTAGACAATTTTGTATTTTAATGCAAGAAGGTTTGAAATTGAAAGAGTAAGATTTGATATGTGTTTGAACTTTGAAGACCACCTGTGAGTATGCTCAATGCTTGAATTTCTTGATTAAAAAAACAACAACAACAACAATAAAAAAAAAAAAAAAAGGAAAAAAGAAAAAAGAAAAAAAGGAAGAAAAACTTTGGACAATCATCTTCTTTGTTTGGTACTTTGTTAGAGATTCCTATGCCAGAACAAGGATGCATTTTCAGACAGGCTAGCCTGTATTCAAGTGTTTGGCACATATATATCCTTTTAAGTTTTGATTATTTTGGAAAAACACTAAGATCAAAGATCAGAGTATTTATTTCTAATTCTTATGTATGCTTTCAGAAGCTGTTAGCAGAGCCACAGATCTATATGGCTGCCCACCTGGGACCATGCTACACAGGAACATAATGCACTGTCTTCAGTGAGTGGAAAAATAATGCTGTTATAAAACAGAAAAACCCACACCACTAACTATGGAGAAACATGGCTTTAAGGACACAGCATAGCTTTCAACTGCACTGGATACAACTTAGACAGTAAGGGAGGAGACACACGCATGGGTAGTCTTCTGAATATTCTTGTTCAATGTTCATTGCTGCATGACTCAGCAGAGCACTGATGGTTGCTACCAAAGAAGAAAGGCTACAGTGGACTGTACTAGGCTTGTCTGAAAGAGCTCTGGGTGAAAGCTCAATGCTTTTTTTTTGCTGTATGTATAATTAACTTGGATTTGTTCATGAAAAAATTATTAGGAAAAAGAGAGCGTGTTTCTTCTGTTTTCTTTTGTTTACCTTTTTCAGTTTCTTCTGAATTGGAAGAGAATGACCACTTAGTAAGGGAAAGGGTAAGAATCCTCCTCTAAAATGAATCAAAAACCTTGAGCTACCTACTGATTCTATGTTTTCAGGACACACCAACAGCTGCTTCTGAAAATTACTGTGGTTTGGGAGCACTGACAGAGGCTAAAAATAAATGTAAATAAATAAATGAAAGGGAAAAGTATGTTGACTTGCCCAGTGTTCTTTTAAAGTTTCACTTATCTTACAGATGAGCACAACCAAAAATCTGAATCTGGTGAGAACAAAGGATAATATGCTGTCATCTCTAAGAAGCCCTGGAGATAAAAAAATCCTACGTGATTTGTTTTTTCACTTTCTCGAATTAAGTTGCGTGGTATGAATCAGATTTTTGTGAAGACGGAAGCAGAACAATTTAGTTGTGGTTTCCATGACCCTAAGTTGATGTCAATTTGATGCAAGCAGATTACTTTACTTTGGAGGCATAAGACTGATCTTGAAGACAACAGAAATGGATACACAGTTGCTAGAAGTGCCTGGAGGAACATCACAGGTTACACACTCCGTAGAAGCAAGTAGAGACTGAAAAAAATGAGCTGATTACCTCTTGATCTTCTGCTGGAGGTGCTAGAGAATTTGTGGGGGATCAACACTGCAGGAAACCTCCAGTGCTAAGAGATAACTCATTCACTAAAATTTGGGGCCTGAGCAAAGTGTACAATACTGAAGAAATTGACTTTAATACTGATGTTCCAGCTTTGGAAAATGAGCTGTCCTCTGTCATTACACAGTGGCCCAGAGGTGCTCCTTTGCTTTCACACAGAGAGCAAATTATGCAATCTGGTAATAGGGAAGACATGATACTCCTTTCTGAGAAAGCTTCACTGGTCAGAACATGCCTATGTACTTATTTCTGGGTGTGTAAGCAATGTATCAGTCTTTCTCCACTGTGGAATCCCCATGCTCAAAAGGTTCTCATCTGCTGGTGCCAATGAACGAGATCCAAAGATTAGCCTCAAACCTTCACTGCGTTTTCCCAATGGCAGCACAGTGTGCTAATCGCTGAGCCATTGGGATAGCCCTGTAGGGTATTCTTCTAATAGTTTTTCTAGTTCTTCCACTGATGTCCTTATACATCTTTTATGATCTCGACAGTGATGCTACTTTCCCCAGGCGCTTTTCTTCTATCTTACTCTATGCTTGCTTCTTGGTGGTTTTTTTTGAATGCAGGGGGAAGGATCTACCTTAAACTTACCCTTCATTCCTAGCGCAACCTTTCAGAAAGACATTTCCCTCATCTGCTCTTCCAATCCTGACTACATGTCAAGGAATGGGGAAGATGGAAAATATTTCAGTACTTTCCATCTAATTGTGATGGTCTTTTTCCTGACTTCATGTTCTATGTAGAGTTTTTTCTTCTAAACAGATGAACAGCCAGTGCTTTTGGATTTAAAATTAAACTCCAAATATTTTCTTTAAGCTGCACTCATTGGGTTCACAAAGAAATGAAAACAAAATACAGCACGTGACATCATTTGAAAGAGCAAATTATGTTATCGAATATAGTTCTAGAAATAAACTCTATTTTTTTAACTGTGGCTCTTCCCTAATATGCAGTGCTGATAAATAGTAAAAAGGAATTCTTTCCTAACTAAATATTTCTCTCACATTATACATATATAAATTCCTCTGGGAATAACTTGAGCCATATAACTTGAGATAGGAGGTAGCTGATATATGTGAGGTATTAATATGAAAAATATTTTCACTTCATGTATGTTATAAAGCTCTTGGAATATTACAGGAAACAAAAGTATAGGTCAGTTAAAGACTTTCTGTTTCCCTGTTCTGCCCATAATTTTTTTCCTGCAGGTCTATATTTTGTTTTCTTCTCATCTATTATTTTCCTTTTCCTTCTCATCTTACATTCACTATTATACAGGGCACCTTTTGAGGAGCTGCTTCTGCTTCCAAATGATGATACATACTGGTAGCAGCAACCAAAGCAACAGTCAGTGAACACTTGTAGCGATGGTGAGTTGTAAAATAATAAATCAAATATTTAATACTTAGACAGAAGATGTGGACTTTATCTACACTTAATGGGTGGGGAGGCTGATTACTCATTCATAGCTACACCACTTGTGAATGATGAGGTCACCCCTATCTCAGGAAGATAAATGCCATATCCTGTTATGACATATTCCTTTTATATAAAATTAGTTCAATTTTCTCACTAGTGAGAAATCAGTATAACTTAAAAAAAATCACTTCAAGATAAAGGCATTTTTCTATTGTAATTCATTATATATCCTATTTTCATTTTATTTCTGTTCTGTTTTGTTCTATCTTATCCTATTCCACGTATACTATTTTACTCTCTACCTAAATGATATCTGACTAAAGTGAAGCAAAAATTAGATGATACAATGAAGCTTTGTAGCATTCTCCCTCATACCTGTCACAGGCTCCTTCCAACAGCAGATAATGAAAATTCAAAGTCAAACCATTTAACTTTAAGTAAATGGAAATGAATTTCCATCGAAGAGATATTTTTTCACCTGTGAAAGAAAGGAACAGTAGTACACTGACAATGCGAATAAAGACATAACATATAATTGTGATAGAATGGTATATGAAGAGCATAAATATTAAATGTTATTGTATTACACACTGTCATGTGTTTTTAATTTTTATCTTTACTGTGTTTTTGCCTAAGAAAGTCTACAGTACATAGTTAGAAACAGCAGTACTTTATAAGAATATTTCTTGTCTTAATCAATACTAAAGCAACTTGCAGCATATCTTGCAATAGTATATGGTATTGAGACAAAAACCATGCTGCTCAGACACCAGAAGCTGTAAATAGTTTTATCAAAGTAAGAAATAAACTAAATTAAAAATATTGGGGTTTATTCTCATCCCATTTCCACTAGCATGCTGCACCAAATTAATTTAAATCCATCATAGTATGCTTTATCACTGGTGAAATATGTAGCAAATTGGGTCCACACTATTTAATATGGCACAGAGTATAAACCTGATGATGGATATTTTCATCAGTGTATAAAATAAGTCTCAGAAATTCCTACTGAATTTTCCCATTGTGATTAATTTGGGGGGGTGAAAAGATACAAACAATCAAAATGGACTTTTCTTCAAATATGGGACAATCTTTTTATCTGATATCTTTAAGAGCTATGACAAAGAAAATGCTTCTGTATTCTATAGACATTCACAAACCTACCTTTGAATCCTGCTCATCTTCTAACATTTAAAACTATTTGCAAGTGGTTCCAGTGACTCAATGGGTTTACTTGTGCAAGCAAAGTTATCCGGACTGACTTTCTATTTACATTAACACTTAAGATATTAATCAATAGTAATAAGAAATCTTATTAAATATCAGAGATCCTGGTTCTGCCTACACAGATGAAAAGCAGTGACTCTCGAGACTAAGCTGAAGCAAGCTTAGCTAAAGGCAGGCTCTCTGTCCTGGCTGTCTCTTTGAAACAAGAAAATCTGCTCAGAGTTGCCACTGTAGAGCAAAGAGTGACAATCAACGGATGGGGACTTCGACATGATTACATCCACTCTACTGCCTGGCCATACATTGACAGACAAAACTACTGTAATGGAGTGATCATTTGGAAAATGGCTACTGCCCACATTTAAATTCCTTTCAGTGTTATTCCATAGCCAATTAGAGTGGTAGCCCAGCCTATATTCATGCCAGTCTTGTACTATAATGTAAGAAAAAGGAAAGGAGCAGCTCAGAAGTCTTTAATTATTCCTCCAGCCATTTATTGACCTGCTCTCTAAAGGCCATATACGGGCCTTCATCTGCATGCAAAATTCCTATTGACATCACTGGGAGGGCCACAGGCAGATGGAGGGTTACTTTGTAAACCTTACATTTTAAATATGTTGTAAGAGAAAGGCGCAGAATTGTCAGTCCTTTAAAAAAGTGAGCAGCTTTATCTAATATTTGTCTTTAAACATGGAGTTTGAATAACATTTTTTCTAGTAATAACATCCCCCCTCTTCTCTGCAAGCTATCTAACCTACACGTTTCTGTAAAGTCTTCGTATTTAACACTCAAACAATTGATGTCCCTATAGTATAAACAGGATAGATAATGAATATAAGTGGGATAGAAAATTAATCCTACTTGCGAGGAAAGAGAGTCATAATTCACTTAGGCTTCTCAGCTCTTACGTTATGAGGTCTTCAGCTAACTCATGGGATCCATTCCACATCCCACAGATGCTCATTATGAATTCTTTTTATGTGCAACATGTGGGGACTAACCAGTTTCATATCTCCTGGTATTAGCTGCAATCCAAAGCATTTTGTATTAAAACAGAATGCAAACACAGATGCTATTTAATACAAAGGATTTGAATGCAGTCTCTGTTTTAACATGAAGTTGGTGTGTCTTAATTTGCTTTGGAACAGCAATGGAAAGAAAAGTCAAGATAAGAGGATATTGCTAGATTAGGAGCCAAGCTATGATTCCAAAAGGCACACAGTTGCATGGGAAAAAGGGAGAGCGGCCCAGGTGACAGCTTTGATTCATGGAAGCAAAGGTTACAGTGCCTTTGGATGGGGCAACCAGGGACATCTGCCCCTTCGAGAATGATGTCATAGCCTTTCCAACACTAAGCATACTCTGGAGTGTTGCTACCTATGTTCTGTCCCATGCAACTCCTCTTGGTATGAGCCTCGGTTTCCTCAAAAACGGCATAGCATCACGGCTGCTATTTGTGTAAGGTCCACTAACACAATGGGTTACTTTCTTTTCTAGCTGTCCACTCAGTAGTCTGGTGAAAGGTCCAGTTCTTCTCCACAAGCACTACACTTCTTAGTTCCAGCAATCAGCAACTTGGCTTCCGGGGTCGTGGTTGCCGAGTCACCTCAGAAGCCGGGAGGTCTAGTGAGACCCTAATGCGGGCGAGAGTCCCCTTTTCTCCCGTTCTTCTGCTGACCCTGACGCGGCATAGCCGCTATGATCCCTCTGGGACGGGCTCCTAGCCCCTCGACTCCCACTGCAGCTGCGGGAGGAGGGAGCGCGGAGGGCAGCCCCAGCAGCTCCCGCCGAGCACCATGGCGAGGAAGCCTCGCGTCTCCGTGCCCACTCCGACCTCGTTTGCGGCTCCCAAAGCTGAAGCAAGGAGGAGGAGACGCCGGGAGAAGGACGAGACAGCTAGGGTGTCCGCAGCCGCCGAGCGCTCGAGCCCAACTTTCCGCGGTCCCTTCCCAGCGCCCACCCCCGCGCAGCGCCGCGGCCAGGCGGGCTCGGCGGCAGGCGGCCCGGCCGGGACAGGAGCAGGGGCAATAGCGCTGTCCCGGCGGGCTGGCAGAGCCGCGCAGCGCCGCGGCCCGGGAAGAGCATTTGGCAGAAGTGGAGGAGGGCAAACCCGCCCGAGCGGGGGGCAGTGGGGTCTCCGCGCAGCCCCGGGTGGCACAAAGGAGCCGCGGCGCTGCGGCCGCGCGTCCCGCAGGGGCGGTGGAGGCCGAGCCCCTCCGCGCTGCTGCCGGTGCGGTGCGTGCCGCGCCCGGAGGGGAGCTCTGCGAGGGGACTCGGCGCACTGGCGGTATAATTGATATGTTGAAGCAGCAGTAGGGATCAGTGCGTGCACAGACAGCACACACCTTACAAGTTTGACTCGCAATAACATTGCTGCACACTAGGAGGGGAGGAGAGTCAGCTCCCTAGAATAAGGAACAAACTCTGCCTTTGCACAAAAGCGGCGCATTTCCTCGCTTGTGAAAACCGTCCCTTCATAGAGAGAAAGAAAAGGGAAGGGGGGTGGGGAGCAAAAGCAAGTTACCAAGAGCAAGAACTTGTGCTGCAACAATCCTCCACTCTTCCTCTTCTCCTCAGGACTCTGGGAGCAGGGATATTCCTCCCCCTCCCCCCCCGCACAGTTGGCGCTCACCCAGACTGTGGTCAGCCGCCTTTATTATTACTTCATTGAGACAGAGAAATCCTCTAAGACTTGCATTTTGGGTGGAGGGTGGGGGGTGGAGGGACGAGAAGGAGGAGGGAAAAAAAAGGCAACATTTGCTGCTCATCATTTTCACTGCACCGCTAAAGTAATTGCGCCCCCCTCTCTCCTCCCCGTCCCTCAGCTTGGATTTTTCTCCTGTATCTACAGCTCCAGTAGTATAAGACATACCTTTTTTTTTTTTTTTTTTTTTTTTTTTTTCCCGGTAGATCTGATATTCCGCTTTCCCTCACCTCTCACAAAATCTTCACGCTTTGCATTTTGCAATTCGGTAAATTCCCCCCACCTCCTCTTTACCCCCAGCCCCCCCAAACTCCTCAATCTCAGCCCAGGCGCTCACATCAAAGCGCCCGTCCTCACTCACAGTGGCCGCCACTCACTAATGGGATTGCAGTGTGCCTGGCTCTGCTGCTGCAGCCGCCGGAGGGAGAGTCGCTGCTGCTGCACCTCTTCGCCGACACTCGCCGGGTGCTGAGCCGCGGGGATGATCAGGATCTTCCCGGATTTCAGCGTGCAGGTGACGGCGGCGGCGGCGGCCGGCGGGGCGGCCGGGGGGGTGCCGGCGGCACCGGGCATGGGGCGAGCCGGCGCCGCGGCCAACGGCAACCCGCAAAACGTCCAGGGCATCACCTCCTACCAACAACGGTGAGCATCGAGGGGGAGAGGGCTGTGCGGCTCTTCTTGAGGCTCCCTCACTTGCTTTTCTTTGTGCTTTTGTGTTTCTTTGTTTTCCTTTTTTTTTTTTTTTTTTTTGATCTCTCCTTTCTGTTTGTTGGGGGGAGCTTGGTTGGAGGGGAGGGTGGTTGGTCTGTTTGTTTGTTTTTAGTTTTTATTTTTTCTTCTTTTTTAAAATACAGCATCTTTTAAAATGCACTGAGAAGTAAACACAATCTCCTAGTTTTGTCTTGAATGAGCTGGAAAGCAACAATAGAAAAAAAAAAAAGAAAGAAAAAAAAAAAGTGAGACCCCGGCATCTTAGCTTGGCTGCTCCAAAGTTTGGGATCCCGTCCGCTCATCCTTTCTAAAGAGGAATTTCTCAATGTCAATGCCTTGTGCAAATCCCAGTGTGTGGCAGCCAGAGGGATAATTGATCATGGTATGCTGATTGATAATTTTCTTTCAACCAAGAAAGAGAACAATTTTCACTTGGGGTTACACACTTGCAATTCCACATTGTAGTTTTAACAGTATTATCATGTCACCTGTTACTACAGGGAAATATAACAAGAAACCCTAAGTATACTCAGCACTGTTATTTTTTCATCTTAAATGCATTCTAATGCAAATGCAGGAAATTCACAGAGAGCGCTTTTAGGAAGCAAAGCGTAAAAAGTTGGCAGTAAGTCATAATGAAGTTTAAAGACCTTTCCCATTCCTCCTAACAATTCATCGATATGTGCTGATACTAACATGAAGCTTTAATTAATTACCTGACATTTCTTTGTGTTTCTATAAGCCAAAATCCGAAGTCTGAATCTGTTAGTTTGCTCCATCATAAGCTTATAACGGAAGCCGAATTTTCAAAAAAAGTAGATGGCAACAGATCTATTGAAATCAGAAAAAAACATTTATAATTCTCTAAATGCAATAAAAATGGCACTGTCTTGAGTATCTTGCTTTCCACTATTACATTAAATTAAATACCTAGAAAAATGCTGTGTAATCTCAAGTGTCCAAACAAAGTATCTCTATGATGTAAAAGAAAAAAATAGGAAGTTTTAACATAATACTTCAAAATTAATTGGTCTAGGAACCAGATTTAGATAATCGACCATTGCCTGTTTTGCTGTTCAGCAACTTTGTGTTGCTTCCTATAGTTTCGAAGCCTATGATAGAAAACGTTTGGTAGTAACTTTTGTAGGTTTTATTAAATGAAAAGTAATGGGGAGCTGATACTCCTGAAATAATCCCTTATGATGCCTGAGCTGAGAAACATTTGAAACTAAGCAGGAGTCTTGTTTTGCTCAAGCAAACACACCAATCTTTCATATATACTACTAAAAAAAAAAAAAAAGTGAGAGATATAAAGAATGGATGAATGGATTAAAGTTTATTTCTTTTCATGGTTTCTGTATGATTTTTGTCACTTATAAAATATTTAAATTACAATGGAAACTGACGGACACTTTAACGAGGAAGTACAGGCAGCAATCACAATAGTTTAGTCTGTGAAGTGGGGAAGTCAAGGGTCAGAAATGTCAGATTGGCTTTTAGACAAATGAAAGAGACCTCTGGAGACTTAAACAGAATTATAAAGACAAGGCAGCATGCAATTTTTTAGTACTTTTTAGTTGGGTTATGTCAGTCTGTAATCAGGAACAAGTTATAAAAGCAATACTTCTCTGACAAACTACTAACACCTCTAATCCAAACAGTGCTAGGCAGATATTCAAGTACTTTGACCACTAGGAATCCAGACGAGTCTGGATGTCTCGCACACTAAGCTAACAAGGGGAAACAATTACGCACTTTTTCCAAATTTTGACTATATACTATCGACAAAACAGCGTGTTTTATGTCGAACGATTTTCCTCCGTGCTTTCTGAAAACGCTTAAAACACAGCAGACAGCGGCACCTCCTTAGTCTATTGCCACAGCCGAGGAGACACCTGTTAACTTTTTTTCCCCCTTTCGGAGGCGAGGAGGCAGGATTGTCGGCCACGAACGGCATCTGCTGCTTTGCAGACACCCCCTCTCCGCAGTCCTTCGCATTCACCTTGCACCCCCGGTGTCTCCCGCCGCCCCGGCGGCTCTGTCCTGCCCTGCCCTGCCCTGCCCGCCCCGGGGTCCCGCCGGGGCCGGGGGGTCGCGGCTCCCCAATCCCCGCGGCCGCCCTCCCGCCGCCGGCTGCGCACGTGCGCGGCGGCCGCGAGCGCGCGGCGGTGCCCCCGAGCGGCGCCCGCGTCCCCCCGCGGGGCTACGGGGCGGCTCCAGAGCGAAGTCCCGCCGGCCCCGATGCCTCCCGCGGGAAAGAACCCCGCGGCCTCCGGTGCGCGGGCGGCGCCCTGCAGTCAAAGTTCCAGGTCTTTTGCTAACTTCTTCTCCCTGGCTCTGTCCTACGGTTCGTGTGCTCTCTTAGCCATCCGCCCCCCACCCCCCTTCCCCCTTCCCTACAAAAACTTTTGGAGTTGTCGCGGAAACGTTTCTCGTGAATAAATGCTCCCGACCTTCGGGGCTTGCTCCTTTCCCCAAGGAAGCCCTCTGGATTTTCCCAGGGAGCAGGATCAGGCCTGGGCAGCTGTAGTTTCAAGGCAGTAGCACAGCAGCCACAAAGTTGCCTTGGAGATGGAAAGCTTTTAGTGAAGGAGCGATTTCTCCTGTAAGAGCTATCAGCGCTCGGGTTCTCCTGGTGTCCTGCAAGGAACAATTAAGGTAGCGGTTTCTTTTCCCCGCTCCTTTATTTAATAATTAATTTCATAATCCTTAATAAAACAGCGTGAAGTGCTACACCCTTTACCAACAAAGCGAGTCATCACTCTCAGTTCACGTTTCCAGCATTACGCCTTTTTAGCCCGCCACTACCCGGTGCCCACTCTCTGGACGTGCGGGTACGTTCTCGGAGGTGCCCGGGGGGTGCGTGGGGTTCCCCCGGGCCCGGGCTGGCACCGGGCACCTCTGGTACGGCCCTGGGGGTGGCAGGGCGCGCGCACCCCCCGGCTCCCATCCCAGCCCGTCCTCCGCCGTGGGAAGCCCACGGGGGACACGCTGCCTGCGCCCGTTGTGTACCCGCCGCCCTTCTGCGCCCGCGGAGTCGCAGAAAGGGTCCCTGTCTCCCTCTACTCCTCTTCCCTGCTGGAGCCCAGACTCCAGAGGAAGAAAGTGTGCGAAACTGCAACTGAGTGGCGTTGTTGCGCCGGCAGCGGAGGCTGTGTCCCCTGCACACAGAGCGGGAGCGGAGCTGGGAAAGCAGTTGGAAAATGCCCAGAAATACTTTCACAGTGGTCAAGCCTGGAGATCCCTGACACCCCTCCTTCTCTCCCCCGCCCCCGCCCCGCTAGCCCCATGGCCTGGCACCCCGCGTAGCCCGGTCCGCGGGCGCGGGTGTGTGTGTGTGTGCGAGTGCGTGTGGGAGTGCGTGTGTGTGTGAGTGCGTGTGTGTGTGCGTGTGTGTCTGTGCCGCACCTGCCGGGCGATGCCAGCGGCCGGACTGCCCGCCGGGGCTGCGCCGCGGATCGCGCTTCCCGCCGCCGCCGCCGCCGCCGGCCGCCGCCGCTGCCTGCGCTGGGCATGTCTCTGGGGCCGGCGGGGCCCCGGCTCCCTCCGCTCCTCGGCTTATGGACGGCGGCAGCGGCAGCAGCAGCGCTAGCAAGCAAGCGAGCAAGCAACCTGCACCAGGACTGCGCGGAGGAGTGGGAGCCCGCGATGCTTTGGCCTCAGTACTTTTCCTTAGCCTGTCTGGCTAACCGGGGCCATTGCTGCCGCCGCTGCTGCTGCTAGACACACAACACACACCAACATCAGGAGGGGGAAAAGTAAGGGAGAGAGGAGAAAAAAAAAAAAATCCCAGGAAGATGGCGCCCACCAAGCCAAGCTTTCAGCAGGATCCTTCCAGGCGAGAACGGTAACACTTTCTCTTTATTGAACCTGCAGCAGCAGTAGCAGCAGCAGCAGCCGCAGCAGCGCCGGGCCGGGCCGAGCCGCCGCCGCCGGGGGCCGGGGCTGGCTGCCATGCCGGGGTGGGGGGACCTGCCGCCGGCACCCGCTGCTCGCACAGCCGGGCACCGTGAGTTCCTCCTAGAGCGCACCGCCAGCCGCGCACACACACACACACACACACACACACTCACACTCACACACTCACTCAGAACAAGCCGCGCAGCAGCGGCCCCGCTCCGGTGGCCGCACCGCCGCGGCTGCCGGAGC